TAGTTGCTCCTCGCAGCTATGTTTTTACGGGGCACTCCTTGGCAGCGCCTGATCCTTGCTTTGAACGGTCGCGATCGACCATGACCTCCCTCCCCCCGGGCGACGGGCAGCAGTAGCTGTCGCGACGTTAAACGTGAGTTTGATTCCGCTGTGTTTTCCCGACGATTTTGGAAGTTTTGTGTGGCAGCTGGCGTTTGCAGACTTGCGTCGGCACCTGCACGAAAACTTCGGCATCATCATCGTGTGTGGGAGTTGATGCCGTCATACCTCAGTCAACAACTACGCGACAATCTGGGAATGTGGCTCAGCAACTGTTGACAACGGACATGCGTCACTGTGGGCGACAATTTTGGAACTGTTGAAGAAAAAACAAAGCGCAAGTGTACGGACTCGCCAGGCGCTAAAGTAATTGCGTCTGAAAAAGCTGGTGACGAGGAGAGACGCCACGAGGACTGCCCGATTTATGCGGGAGTCAACTGCCGTCCCGCCCGACCTGTTAAGTGCAGCGGCCTTTACTGCATTGGCGGGCGCGTCATCAACGATTTTGGCAGAAGTGCACATGGACAGACGGGAACTTTGGACCCGCCGACACTTACGGGTTGCAACGGAAAACGGAGTGGCCATATAATGGGAGCAGCCGGAGTCGAAAACTATAAAAATAATGGGAGCAGCCGGAGTTGCCTGCCGACGACGAGCGATGGGGGAAACATCTGCAAAACGTCGGTGGGAGAAATATGTTATTTTGTTAAACAACATCAGCGGGAGCAGTTTCAACGACAAATTCAACGGCATTGACGCCACTAGGTTCCGTGAAATACGGTCTCGGAATAACCCATGGGCAGTCCCCGCTTTTCGATTGAACCCACATGCTGGGGTCGGGTAACCGACGGAAACTGATGGTGACCGAGTGGGCGGCTATAGTACGTCCGATATTTTCGGAGGAGAACTGCGCGGGGAATTTCGGGGGTTGGTTTCGATCGACATTTACGAAGTTTTACGTGAAGGACTCACCAGTTCATGGCGGGAAGCGCCGAAAATTTCGTGGGATTTCTTCGGCATTTGGTTAAGCGTGCGCAGCAACGACGCAGCGCAACATCGCGGGGACTACATGGAGTTTTCAAGGGGTACGAACGACTTACGACGAACTGAAGAAGGCGGCAGCAACAGTGAAGGGGGGGGGGGAGAGACTACTATAAATTTTCAACTCTGCCCAGGAGTCATTGGCGGATTGCGACAAAATGCTCGGCGAGTCTGGACAGAACCGCCGGAGGTGCTGACATCATCTACACTAGATCGACGTTCGACAATGTTTTTGAAGTGAGCTTCTATTTGGTTACTGCTGCAACGACTATCGATGCTCCTCGTATTCAAGTTCGCGACGAATCGCCTTCAACGACGGCGTTTCGCCACACCCCGATTTCACGGCCAGATGATTTCGGGACAGGACTTCCAACTCTAATAGCGAAAAATCGCCCAACTCGACCCGCCCACGACAAACGATTCGATTTCAACTGCTGCCAGCTGCAACTGCTGAAGATATCACCTGATTCTGGCAATGTGAAGACAAAAATGTTCAGTTCGAGTAACATGGATTTTTCGCTACGGGTTTCGGTCTACTTCTGCGGGTTCGCCCTCGATGGATTTTGGGCACGTAACACCTTGGTTTCGTCATCCTTTTCCCACACCGACACCCTTTTGCCTGGGCATCCGCGCTTTTACGTGCGACTTCACACCTGGTCTTTTTTTGTTTTCATCTCGGGGCAGCTACGGGACTTTTTTCTTTTTCTTGTAGGGGGGAAGAACGTACGCTGCACTGTTTTCTTTCCTTGGCGTTTCTGACTTTGTCAGGATGCAGCAGCACGATGGACGACTGCGATCGACATCAACGGTCTCTGCTACATCGCGACTGATCACCGCGTCAGCAGGTTCCCCCCAAATTCGCGTCGCCGTCGACCGTCAGATCGAATTCAGATTTCATCGACGGTCCTAACCTTCAATTCGAATTGGTCAAGGTCAGCTCCGACCGTCAGATCTACAGCCATTACATCTACGACCTACATTCCAACCTCCAAAATCAATTGGGCCAGACCATCCGCGACCGTCAGATCGAGATCTGGCTATATCAACAACCTATATTCCAACATTTTCATTCAAATTCGCCCAAGGCATTTCAGCCGTCGGATTCAGCTAAAAAGAAGATCAACGGCATCCTTGCTAGTGCGGGATTCTTCTAAGTACAAGACTGCCTTATTTGGAAGGTGGGAGAGTGTAAGGAATCGTAATTTGTTTCTGTACTCGCATTTTAGCGAGTACAACCCGAAGGTGACTCGTCAGTTCGGTTCGGTTTATTTCGTCGCACCGAATCACTACCGAGTCGCCTCCGCTCCAATCGCAACATCACCGAGCCATATTTTCCCGACCTCCCTGCCTAGCTAGCTTTTCCCCTATTTAGGGTACATTCCGCTGTGGACCTGGTCATAAAGAATGAGTCCCAATCACAATTTGGCCGATTCGCCCTCAAATGCCTCGAGTCTGCATGTCCCAATCGATCGATGTATTGCGACTCTGCACAGACGCGCGACAATTATATGCGACCGATTGTGATTGGTCAGATCATAAGCTGGCCCACTCGTCCATGCGCAGCACATACACCAACACCGCCAGGCCCGCCGAAGAGCATTGGTGATGTCTGGGGAGGCCGCGGAGGGTACAGTACTTCTCCGCGCTGCCAATAATTGTCTCAAAGAGTGGTACATCTCCAAGACTCCTACACGTATGTGAGTTTTTTGAGTCAAACAAAGCACAGACGTACGCGTACTATACACGCATGATCTACGCATGATGGCAGAGCCTAGAACCATCCCCTTCAGCCTACGCCTCCTCGTCGCCTGGGTCACCTACTACTACACCATTTTTTACGAAAATGTCGCGAAGACCTTTGTAGGCCTGATAGAGTCCGGTGTGTTCGAGGACGCGGACGAGCAGTCCTCATCGCTCGGGGACGACACCGGGGAGAACCGCCATCACAGAGCGAGAGTACGGCGGCGACGTCATGCGCTGTGGGTTGTAGACCTGCAACATATGCGGGAGAACGATTTCCATGACATTTTCAGGATCAACCGCGCCATACTTGAGCATGTCAAGACTGGGATGCGACAATATCTAGAGCCCATCGTCCAACGGTCGATAATCACGATGGACACTGCTAAGCTTATCCCAATAAAGTTCTTGGCGAGTGGGATATCCTACGTCGACATGTCGTACCTGTTCGGTGTCTCCAAGACACTCTGCCACGAGCTTGTCGACGTGTTCCTCATTGAGTTCCCCTCCGTGTTCAAGGCCGCCTGGGTGCGCTTCCCCACACGCGATGAACTTCCCGAGATGGCGCGAAAGGAGTACCTGCAGTGGTGGGGGCTGTGGACGGGACTCACATCCACATGAAAGGGATGGAAGGGCACAGAGCGGAGTACTGCACAAGGAAGTTGGCCTACGCCATACAGCTTCAAATCACGTGTGATGCAGGAGGCAGAATATGGGATTACCTCATCGGTTATCCCGGCAGCGCACACGACATGCGGGTTTTCAAAGACTCTGCACTACTTGAAAGGTTACACAACGGCGACATAGCCCCATACCAGGTTGTTGGAGATGCGGCCTACCCCCTCAGAGAATACTGCCTAACCCCACTGCATGCACAGCGCGGAGAGGACCTAATGGATGATTGGGCCCAGTGTTTCAACTACTGCCAGAGCGCCACACGCATGGCGGTGGAGCGGTGCATCGGCGCCTTCAAAGGGAGATGGCGCATCTTCGCAGGGCGCAATGACTGCAGGTTGTGGCGCATTCTCGCAGGGGCCGCGTGTTGTGTGATCCTGCATAACATGTGTGAAGACATGGCAGCCATTAGGCGCAAGAACATGGCCTGGTACAATCTCCCCCGCAACCGCGACCCTTGGTGGACACGGGGTGCCATTGCGACACACAAGTGGGAACCGTGTGTTCCCCCCACACAACAGGCTCTGAGAGAGAGGCGGAAGAGACTGGGTGAGGCCTTACAGGACTCTTACGCTAATCGTCGGCGCCGCGCACCCATATCTCCAAATCATCAGCACCCGGAGTGACGGTGTTGACGTCGCCAACTTCGTCGCGCTGCTGGGCGGCATCGGGAGGTGGCGCGGACTCCCCGCGTGGCGGAGGAGGGGTGAAATCTGGCGGCGCACGGTGCATGTCCGGGGGAGCCGATTCAGTCATGCGCTCGCGGGCAAGGCGCATGTCCTGCGCCATCTATTCATGGACGAGGCTCTCGATGCGCGTCATCGCGTCACCGTGACAATCCTTGATGGTCGCGGAGACCAGCATGGCAGCTTGCATAGTAGCCGTCTCGTGCATCCGGGCGCGCCTGGGTGTTGCAGTGGTCGGCGGCGGCGGAGCTGTGTTAGAGGGGGGGGGGGGGGGGGGGGGTATAGTGGTAAAGCAGAGTAGTACTTGTACGGATGTTTGATGTATGAGTCATATCAGATTAACGCGAAAAGCGATTTCGGAATGCTCTACCTTCGACAAAATGAATGCGTATCGAGCTCGAGGTAATGGGAGCACGACTCACCAGTAAAGGTTGGGGTCGACGTCCCTGGCTGAGACGAACTTGGAACCTGCATGCCGGCCGTCACGTTGACGTTCGTGGCGCCGCCTCCGTCCACCGCATGCGGTGCGGCTGCGGCGGTGTCCTGGTTGTGTAGCTCCAGGTACGGATACCACGGTGGTTTCTCCACTGAGCCGTTGCCCGACCCCCCATCGCCACGCTTGTACTCCCGTTGCACATCAATCAGTAACCGCCACTGCTTCTGCAACGCGTAGACACCCCTGCACCATCCGGGGTTGGACTCCTTGATGTGCGAGAGAAGGCGGACCCAGTATTGCGTCCCCTGCTTCCCCTTGAGAGGCTCGAGCTCGTCTTTGGTGAACCACTTCGCCGCGGCGAAGATGGTGCTCTCCTTGTCCGATCATAAGCCCCTCTCGACTGGTGCAGCAGACCGCTTCTTCCGTGGCTCCTGGCGTGGCGGTGGTGGTGCCGCCTTGCCTTTGCCTTTGTCAGTCCCAGATGCGCGTTTGGCGCTCCGTTTCGGCGGTGGTGCCACAGGTTGCTCTTTCTCCTCCGCGTCGTCGTCGGCGTCCTCCTCGTCGTCGTCGTCGTCGTCGTCGGCGGGCGACATCCCAATGTCTTCTGGTTCGTCCTCCTCGTCGTCGGTGCTATGGCCTTCGTTGCGGTATTCGTCATCGTTGTCGTCAACGTCTTGCTCCACGACGGGCCGCACTGTTGCCGCCGTCCTTGCAGGCTGACGGCGCACGCGTGACGGGGCCGCACTGGGCGACTGCGCACTGGAACCCTGGCCGTCGAGCACGGGCGGAGCGGATAATCCCGTCGGATGTCTACCGTTGGCAATCTGCTGGTTCATCCAGCGGATGTAAGGAATGTCGTTCAGATCCTTGGGGCAGTCGTTAAGGTTCTGGCCCTTACGCTTACGAGCCATGGCGGAGGCTAGAGTGTTTCTAGATCTAGATCTGGAGAGAGAGGGTAGAGAGAGAAATGCACAGATTGGAACAGGAAAGATGGTGCACGAAGATGAGCTCGTAAGGTGTTGGGAGGAGAAGGAGTTCTGGGGAAGGAGCATTGTGACTGGGGGAAAGCGAGCTGGCGGGACGTGCGCGGCCCTGTCAATAATTCCGTGTGAGACGTCTCGACCAATCACGAGGCAATGTACGCGTTGATGGGGATTGCGGATTCCTTGAGATGTTGTCTAGATACATGCAGCATGAGTTGACATTTGGCACCGCGTGCGACAGATGGAATGTGTTGCAATTAGCTGACGACTGTTCCGCGTTTCACGTCACTCAATGATAAATACATTTGGCGACAACCACGGGCGGCCCGGCTTTCTGACACCTGGCAGCATATGCTGTACGTACGCGTCACAATCGATTCGGATACATTCTTTGTGACCAGGTCTGTAATGAATGTGAATTCATTACTGTAGAGGCTGCTCCTAGCGAGGACAGCCCGAACTGTTCGCGTCAGTTTGGGCTCGGTCTACACTTTCGTACCGAACCAGCGCCGAGTCGCCCCGCACCAATCGCAACACTTCCAAGCCTCGCACGTCCAGAGCCCTCGCCTAGCACGGTTTAGACCCTATAAATGCTCGCTTCTTTATCATTCTCGTCATTCTGTAATTCTCATCCTTTTTATAAAGTCTTCCGCGCACTCTTCTTAGTACAACTCATAACACTTGGTATCAGAGCCTAAGTTCCTAGGTTCCCCGTTTTTTAGAGTGTATTACCCCTCGGGGGGGGGACAGGGAAGGATGCCGTGGTGACAGGAGTAGCGCAGTAGCCGGCCAGGAGAACGGGTAGTTGCTCCTAGCAGCCATGAATTTCTCTGGCGCTCCTGCGGCACCGACGGATCCTTGCCCTCGACGGTCGGGATTGACCGTGGCCTCCCTCCCCCCGGGTGGTGGACAGCTGTGGCTGTCGCACATTAACTGCCTTTGTTATTTTCGTCGGTTCCGTTAATCTCGTCACTGTTTTTCATGCGGCAGTTGGCGTCAGGCATATTGGCGTCACTGCATGTGCGAGATTCTCGGAAGCAGCAAGGTCGTCACTGTTGTGCGAGTTGGCATCGGCACGTGGTCGCCAACTGCGCGCGACAATCTCGGAGTTAATGCGTGCGGCAAGTGACGTCAGGCGTAATCGTCACGTTGCGCACGAGATCTCAGAGGTCTTCGGCACGTTGTGAACGGGGTCACTGTGCGTGAAGATTTCGGGTGACTTCACGGCAGAAACGACAGCTGGCCGGGCAGGCCAGGCGCATGGTGATTTGCGTCGGAAAATGCAATGGCGAGGAGAGACGGCGTGACGACTGCCCGAAGAAAGCGGGGGTCTACCGTCGTCCTGCCCGGGTGCGGCCGATGTGGCTGCAGGAGGGTGCGTCGTTGGCGTTTTCGGCAGGAGCGGCACATTGTGGGACGGAAGTCGTTTTTCAATCCACCGAAAAGTTCGGGAAAAACCGCCTACGACTAGACTGTCTATCGCTAGGGTCACTGCTGCACCTGCACCACGATCGGCGAAATTTTCGGAGCAACAAGCAGCAGCCGACACTGTACTTCAGGCGGCACAGTACCCCCTGATCAAGGATAGTTGCGCCGCAGACAGGGCAGTACACCAGCGGGACAACGTTTCGGCGCAGTGTTTAGACCCGCGATTTTCGGGGGTTCTACCGGCTACAATACACGGAGTTGCGTCGAGATCGGGTTTAGCGAGAGAAACGGGCTTCGAGCTTCAGGAGGCGAGAATTACGACCCACGGGGAAACGCTCAAGCTGATGCCTAAACGTTTTGCGGCTAAGCGGCGGTAGCCGGATGGGTACCACTACCGGCCGAGGTTTCCAAACGTTTCACATACCTCACGCCCAGAAGGCCTCAAAGGCAATTAGTAAGTCCTATTGGCCACTGGATCCAAAGGTGGGGCCCTGTGTTTAGCCCTGTGCTGGCTAAAAAGCGCGGGTATTGCGCAAGTTCGACAGCTGGGCGTACAAGAAATTTTCAAGGAGACGGCACTGTTTCGGCCCCGACAAAACCGGACCATCGGCAGCAGTTACCCCGCCGAAAAAGTCGGAGCTGAAACAGTTGGTGCAGCTGTCGGAGTTTCTCCTAATTCAACGGTCTACCCGTCGGCGGTGTAGCGGCGAAGAAGGGGTTTCCGACGCTGTGGAATTTTAAATGCGATAGACGCGGTGGGCAACGAAGCGGCCGGCCCGACTGTTTGATCCGATAAACATGATCCGGCTACGATAGCGTTCGCGCCTTCACCGAATGTCAGAAAAATCGCGGGCAACACGGAGTTATACCTCATCCGACAAAAGCGGACGCTGGGTGAACGGCGGCAAGCGAAATTGTCGGGGGGTGAAGACAAAAAATTAAGTGGAGGGAAATTTGTGGGTGCTCCAGCAGATCTCCAGAGTGAAAGGTTGAGCCCGTACACCAATCCACCGCGAATTTCGGAGTCTATTCGGTAGACCCCCGAAAGGGTTTGATATTGTTACATGGAGGCGCGGCGAGCGGTGTATCGCCAAGGATACCTGGGATTCGCTAAGTAATTTCGACGGGTGCGAAGACGGGTGAACGTCAGAGTACCAGGGTTAACGGCGGAAACGTCGGGGTTACGCGGCGGAAAATACTTCGGGACTGCTTCAACAACCATGATTTTCGGGGTTGTTTCCTACGGTGGGAGACGGGTGAACGTCTGCTCGCCAGCTGTTTCAGCGGTTTACGGTGTACTTTGAAGCCATCTGAAGAAAGTACCAAGTATCGGCTTTACAAGAGTTCGGCGGTGAAGGCCGACAATCTCGCAAAAACGGCGGAGTTGCGGCGGCGCTGGGATAAGCACGCGAAAACTGACGTGGTGAACTTCTTGGTGGCAAAATTTGTAGAGTTTCGGGGTACCAGCCGCAACACAGGTGAAAATTATCGCAACAGGTGGGGGGAGGAAGGACAGCTTTTTCGCCTCTGCCCCGAAGTTCTCGGCGAGTAACGACAAAGTCGCCGGGGTAGCTGACGTCATCGACAGTCCAAGTTTGAGTTTGAAAAAATATTGCAGGCGGTCAGGGGGAAGTGGAGCAGCTGTTTTCGCCCCTGCCCAGTATGTTTCGGAGAAAGGCGACAAAAGCCTCGGCAAGTCAGGACAAGACTGCCGGAGGTGCTGACAGCTGGAGTAGTTGCAACGAGGAAACTGCCACAATTTCGGAACAGCAGCAGCAAATTCGGATTGCAAGATCTGCCAGCTGTAGATACGGCAGCAGCCTGTTGATTTACGTAATACTGCCACGCGGGGTTTTCAGGGTGGCAGTCACGGGAGATGCTGCAGCAGCAGTCGCGACTACAAGACAAGAGGAAGGGTCGCACCCTGAGTCCAATGGCACAACGACCGCCCTCTAAAAGGACGTCACGGTTCACCCTGACGAGTTTTTAACAGATCAAGATTACGATATTTCGCCACCGATAGCAATTTCGACAGCACATCGGCTAAACTTCAGGCGGGAAGTCATAACACTTGGTATTCTATTCTACCCTCAGCGTCAGGGTGGTTGTGATTTTGTGTCCGCGCAGCCGTGCACATTTTTGTGGGCAGCAGCTATCTTCCAAGGGGGGGGAGAAAGAGTGCTCACGCACTGTTCTCGGCAGGTCTCTGACATTTCGGCAGTTATTTCGGACAGCTCGTCTGACACACCCCGCACGACGGACGCACGCGATGGCTTCATCGGCATCAACGGCACCAGATTCTTCGATCTCTGACAACGCGTCAGAATTCCCGTCGACATTGCGTTCATCGGGACCATCCGATATACATCCGCGACATCGACGGCTTCCCTTCGTCGACGGATTTCCAACTCGACATTCGCTTTCAACCGCCCGATCGACATCGGTAGTATCAACGGCTGACATCCCAACTCTTTGAAATTTGCCTGGTCAACGCGTTCAACCACGCGTCAACTCGAAAGTCAACACGCTTCCGCGCCGTCAGATCAGTTTTCGACCGAGATCTGCAGTTTTCACGCTACTGCAAGACTCGCCTACATATAAGGGCACCTTATTTAGAAGGTGGGAGAGTGTAATGAATGTGAATTCATTACTGTAGAGGCTGCTCCTAGCGAGGACAGCCCGAACTGTTCGCGTCAGTTTGGGCTCGGTCTACACTTTCGTACCGAACCAGCGCCGAGTCGCCCCGCACCAATCGCAACAATTCCAAGCCTCGCACGTCCCGAGGCCCTCGCCTAGCACGGTTTAGACCCTATAAATGCTCGCTTCTTTATCATTCTCGTCATTCTGTAATTCTCATCCTTTTTATAAAGTCTTCCGCGCACTCTTCTTAGTACAACTCATAACAAGGTCCATAGCGGAATGTACCCTTAGGTCTCGTCACTTAGTGTGTTTCGTCATTCATTCAGAAGTTCAGTATTCTCGTTATTCGTTTTTCTGTTTACTCTGCAAGCTCATTCATAACACTTCAGGTACGTACAACAGCAGGCTTTGGAGGCGGAGATGGAGATGGGGGGGCAGCAGCAGCTGCCGGCTGGAAGGCAGCAAGAGCTGCAGGCTGGAGGGCAGCAAGAGGGGCCGACCTGGAGGCGGCAGGAGCTGCGGGCTGGGAGGCAGCAAGAGGGGCCGGCTGGGGGGCAGCAGGAGTCGCAGGCTGGGGGGGATCAGGACCGGCAGGTTGAGGGGCAGCAGGCTTCGGAGGCGATGATGGTGATGGAGATGGGGGGGCAACAGGAGCTGCCGGCTGGAAGGCAGCAAGAGCTGCAGGCTGGAGGGCAGCAGGAGCCGCAGGCAACGAGGCAGCAAGAGCTGCCGGCAGAGGGGAAGGAAGACCCGCAGGCTGGGGGGGAGCAGGAGTCGGAAGTGGACATGGAGATAGAGATAGGAATGGTAACGGAGCAGCAGGTCGAGAGACAGCTTGGGCTGCAAGCTGAGTGGCCGCAGGTGTTGGAGGTGGAGATGGAGGAGGCACAGGAGGAGGGGGGGGGAGAGCGGCAGGGAAGCGTACAGGAGGGGTGTCAAACGGAGAATCAGTCTCAGCCGCAAGAAGGGGAGCAGCAAGGGTGTCGAGAAAGGAACCGGCC